CAAGGTGGGTGCCAGTGGGGGTCCCACCGGTCACCCTGCATCGGGAGGTGACCAGCAGCAGCGGAGGACAGGACTGGCCAAGGCGGGTGCCAGTGGGGGCCCCCAATCACCTTGCTGGTCGCCTCCCAGATTGGCCCTGGTCACTGGCCAGACTTAGGGATCCTACCCATACACAATTTTTGTGCACTGGGCCTCTAGTACAAGATACACATTATTCTAATGCCAAAAAGGGACAGAATGAGAATGGGGCAGAATAATGTTTGGGGGGGAAAATTCTCAAATTTTATGAAAATATTAACATATTGAACCAAGAAGAACATCCAACTACAAAGAAGTTAAATAAAAAAAGAACACGCCCCATAGAGAATGATCTGACCCAAAATGTCAATAGTGCCAAGGCTGAGAAGCCCCACTCTAAAGAAATCAATTTTTAAAAGTACTAGCTGGGATTGTGGCCTCCAGGGTGGGACAGCCTCTGACTGCAAGTGGGGTGGGGATGGGGGATGATGGGCAGGCAGGGCTGGTGGCTCAGCAGCAAGCCCGGCATTTGACCCTCCCCCACCAGCTTTCCCGAAAAACAGTTTCTGCTCCTGCTTGTAAGTTTGTTCATATACTTGTTCAAACATTTATGTTATAACAGTCGTTTGTCCTCGTTGTTGAAAATGAAGTCGTAAAAAAATTGTTTTAAACATAGAGAAAAGTGAGTGAGAGGGACTCCTGTGAACGTGTTGGTGTATTTTCATCCACTTGTTTCTGCGGTTCCCACGTAGGCAGCCAGAAGGGGGAAGCGTGGCATTTCCATTCATTTCAGCGGCAGCTGCTGCAACCTTTTATGAGAAGGGCATGTTTTATCTTGAGGGAAATTGTGGTTTGTTTGTTTTTAATCTGGGAAATGTCTTGAATGGGCTTCTGTAAGGGGAAAATGCCAGCAGTACTCACTTCTCACACCATCGGAAAGGCGGGAGTGAAACATCAACAGGGCTAAATTAGAAGACATTGGAAACAGTTAGAAGTTGTTCCTCAATCACCTACAACAGGGGAGTGGGCTTGGAACATGGAGAAAGGGCCCGATCTGAGAGAGAAGTCTTGGCCCCGGGGCCATAAGGGTGTCTTGGTCCTCTCAGGCTGCCATGGCAACGCACCACAGCAGGGTGGCTCCTCAACACCACCGTTCTGCAGGCTGGTAGTCTGAGCGCAGGCCAGCGTGGTCAGGTCCTGGCGAGGGACCCTTCTGGGGTGCCACTTATTGCATCTCCACGTAGTAGAAAAAGAGCCCAACTCTCTGGCCTGGTCTAGGAAAGGCACTGCTCCGTTCATGAAGGCTCCCCCCTCATGACCTACCTCCCTCCCAACAGCCCACCTCCACAGCCATCACAGTGGGAGGGGGACACACTTCCAGTCCGTAACAGAGGGCTACAGCCGGTGGGAAATTTGCCTGATGAGAAACATGTTCATTATCTGTGTGCAACACACCACCCCAAAACGTGGTTAGTTTCAACAAAACTTAGCATTTTTAATGTTTTTATTAATTTCAGAGAGAGGAAGAGAAAGGGGGAGAGAGATAGAAACATCAATGATGAGAGAGACTCATGGATCGGCTATCTCTTACACATCCCCTGCCGGGGATCAAGCCTGCAACCCGGGCATGTGTCCTGACCAGGAGTCAAGCCATGACCTCTTGGTTCATAGGTCAAGGCTCAAACCACTGAGCCAGGCCAGTCGGGCAAGACAAGTTAGCATTTCTAATGGTTCTGTGGGTTGATGGCCATCTGTCAGGAGGTTCTCAATTCCAGGCTGATGTAGTTGGGGCTGGTGTTATGTGAAGGCTCAACTCCAAACTGTGTTCTCCTCTCACGTGCCTGGTGCCTCAGCTCGCCTGGCAGGAGCCTGGGAAGCTGGCTGGCCAGGCTTCTCTGTCGCCATGTGGCTGGCTCGGTCTTCCTACCAGGGTAGCGGGCTCAGGGTAGCGGGACCTTTCACTGAAGGATGCATTCCCAGGGGCTTCTTCTCAGGGACAGCACACGGGGGACGTTTTTATCCTCGTGGGGATTTACGGATTCTGATGGGAAAGGAAGGCTGGAGGATTCGGAGGGATCAGGGCACGCACAGTTCAGAGCACATTATACAAAGACACACACGTGCCTCTCACATTTTTACTTTTAAATAAATTCAGGCTCATGACAAAAAAAAAAAATCTTTCCATAAACATAATTTTTAATGGCTGTATTATATTCATTTTTACAACACTGTAATTAATCAATAGTCTCTTAATGTTGAACGCTGAAAGGTATTTAAAAAAATAAGATGGCAATGAACATCTCTGGAAAGGCCAAACTGCCTTTCAGAAGCATCTACCACTTTGCACACCCCCTGCAGGGTAGAAAATGCGCTCTTGCTTTAAGGTCAGCCGTAAATCAGCTATTGCCGCCTTCCTCACGTGTTCTGTTTCATTTTATTTTGAAAATATGTTTTTATTGATTTTTACAGAGAGAAAATGAGAGGTATAGATAGAAACATCAATGATGAGAGAGAAACATCATTGATCTGCTACCTCCTGCACACCCCCTATTGAGGATTGATTTTTAGAGCTTGGCAAGGAGGAGAGACAGAGAGAGAAGCATTGCTGTGAGAGAGACACAGCAATTGGTTGCTTTCCACAAGGCACCCTGGCCAGGCCCAGGATCAAGCCTGCAACCAAGGTACGTGTCATTGACCAGAATCCAACACAGGACCCTTCAGTCCGCAGGCCGATGCTCTATCCACTGAGCCAAACTGGCTAGGGCTGTGCCTGTCTTTATCACTTACCTTAACTACAGGCCAAGAGTGTCCATCTTTGCATCCTTTGTCCTTACAGGACCCAAGAGATGGCCCTTCTCTCGGGCACAAATTCTGACAAGAGACTTCCACTCAATTGTGCCGTGGCCACTGGGGCCTGTGTCCCGTTTGACCAACCCCCCCATCAGCACGTGCCATCTATTCTGACAGACTCCTTGAATGTTTGGCCCCAGATTAACCACACATGGGATAATCAAGGAGCTGTTGGCAGAGTGAGAGGGGTTCCCAGTGAGAGTTGGTCTTCGGCTCACACAAAATCCAGGAGTTGGCTTAATATGAAGATTAATTCTCAGTGGATTAAAGCACAGATAAACCCCAGGGTCAGCAGGACGGGCCTGCTACAGTCCTCATATTCACCATTTCCCCACTCCCCAAAGTTGGCCCCCTTCCAATTCCTCTCTCCCTCCCTCCATCCTGTAGACCCCAAGAGAAACGCTCTATCCCCAACCTCATTCTCGGAAATAATGTTGTTATAAACAGCTCAACTCTGGCTGCTCTGTATCTGGAGACTGATAGGAACACGGTAATGCCAAAACCATGTGGGGTAGAGCAGGGAAGATTAACAAGGGGGTAGCCCTCTCAGTTAAGGGCCCAAAGCACCAGCTCCAAGTGGGCCAGAAAACCACGGAGCCCCTCAAGCCAGCCTCAAAATTACAGGGTCCCCACCCCCCCCGACTCCCCCTGCCAAGCCCTTTCACATACTAGTTGTGGCAGACTATATGTCTGTACCCAATTATTCAGTCTCCATCCTGTAGAACAATGCATTCTGGCCTGCTCCAACGTGACCTGCACTGTATCCTGTGAGAACACCCTCACACACTGAGCTTGGTATGAGTTTCCTACAACTCCTTTTCCTTCCTTCTAGAACAGCACGCTCCAGACCAGGGCTGCCCTTCAGCCTGGGTCCTAAGATGAAGAGATGCATGCAGCAGGGCCCCAGCCAGCGGCAGCAGCCAGGGCGGCAGCCAGGGGTGTGCAATGTGGGTAAAGAGAAAACATGGTGTCAACCTCTGAGGTCTGGGAGTTGTTCTTGCAGCATAATCTGGCAGGAGCTGTTAACGTGCCAGGAGTCACAAACTTTGTGCTTGTGGGCAAACTGGAAGAGCGAAGCCGAAAGAATGTGTGAGTCACGGGACTGGCAAGGCTGTGGCAGACAGGAGGTAGCCTAAGGTGAGGCTCCAGTGTTAAACTGATTATGAGTTAAAATAAAAAATGCTGTTTATGTGGTTAAACAGCAGAGACCAAGATTTTAATAACACAGAGGACTAATATATTTTTTTTTTACCTGAAAGCTTACCTACAAAGAAACATGTAGTTAAAGACAAAAAATGTAATGACACCACCTCATATTTATTTTTATAATCATTCAACTTTTTCGAGATCTCTCAGGCACCAATCTCTAGTTGAGAAGGAACAATTTTCTGAAATTTGGCAATTATTCACATTTTACGTCTGTGCTATTGTTATTTTGGTCTTTTTTTTAAAGTGAAGAGAAATTATTTTTTATTTTAAAAGTTCTCTTTTTAAAACTTCTGCGTTAGCTTCACAAACAATATAAACTTTTACAAAATTAATCAAATCTAATCATACCACAAAAATAATCACAATTTGTCTTAAAGAAAGTGACTCCTCTATGAACAATGACTGACAGGGATATAGACTGATTCCACAGACTACCTCACTGAATTTAATTTATTATGACTGAATCAGGAAATAGCCTTGCTATAGAGAATCATAAATTACAAGAGTTCTACTTGAAATTTGTTCTTATAAAAGAATTACAAATATTTGTGTATTACAAGAACTAACTATGTACTTTCAAGTTTGTATTTTCTGCCAAAGGATTTGATCGCATGCCATCATGTAATCGAGAAAAAAGGAATCAATTGTCCATGTCAGTCATAATAGGAAATTGCACAATCCCAAGAATATGAGGAAGAAGTGTTCCTCTTTAATCTACTAGCAACAGATCCAACAAAAGAGACATCACTGCTTCCATAAAAAAAATAAAAATATACTTCTACATGCCATGAAAATCAGCTTTGATTTTAGACCACACGTTAGGGCTTCCTCTTGATGTGAAACTAATGACAATAGAGCAGCATTGTGGGGTTTTTTTTTCTCTTTATTCTCAAACTGATTGCTACTGAGAAAACACACGGAGATTAGTAATGTAACTCAAATCTTTAGTCTTCTCTTTCCAACTCAAGTACCAGAATAACGACATTCCTTTCAATGTATTCTGACCATCAGATTGTTTACTTTTTTGCCTTGAGAGTCCTTTGCCAAAGGAAACACACTGCCTGGCATTCTATATTAATCCTAATTCCCAGGTAGAAAATGAGACCAATGAAGTGTCATCTAAAAACACTGAGGATTATATTTTTAAAAACAAGACAATAATTTAGATTTTCTCCCTTACATTCTTCTCTATATTACCACAATAAAATATTTATCAAAGCTAAAGAGATCATTGATACACAATAATGACCAATGACTTCACATTAATGGAGTTATCAATAACTCATTAGTGAAGTAACTGGAAAAGAGTTCAAATGGAAAGGATGATTCACTATTCTCTTTACACAGTATTGAAAAAAACCGTAACACTTAAACACTCAAAAATTTCTAAGCATTAAATAATAATTGATAACTCTGAAATACTGCAACATCTTGAGGTACCTGCTGAATGACCAAAGAGAGACAATAGTTTGGTATAACTCTAAGTTTTTACACAGAACTATATATTTTTAAAATTGGTAATCCACATAAGAGATGCACAAAACCATTAACTGACTAGACTATTCAATAAATAGAGCTCCACGTTGCTTTGTTATGAACTAATGAGCTTATAATTCAATAAAACCGCTTTAAGAAGTTCTAGTCTACAGAATGAAATATTCCAATTGTTTGGTCCTGTTATTAACAAAAAGACTTTGTTCAATTCCTCTCAATATCATCTAGAAAGGGCCTGATTTGATTTCTGTCGAAATATAACACAAGTAACGTGTACGCCTGCAGTCTCTAGTCTACGGGTTCGTCATGAATTTCAGTTCAGAGCAACCCAACACAGCGACCTCCCCGTGAGTGTGCCACTACAGTGCCAACTCTGGCGCTCCCCACTAAGTTTTGAGTGGGACAGGAAATTAATAATGGCATGTGGTGTTCCTTAGCATAACCTGCCAAAAGGTGATGATTTCCTTGGAAGAAAAGCCATGGGCTGCAATCACACGTCTGAGCTGACAGACATCCAAGTGAATCCTATACAGAAAGAAAAGGTTTGTGTCTTCTGGAATGTGAATGTCCACTTTCAATAGATTCAAACAGATCCCCACATAAACATCTTCAAACTTGAGGGGTTTTACGTGGCTCATCATCTCATAGATTTTTGGCACCAAGTCTCTGGACATCACATAGCCAAACCCACTGCAGTAGGGAGGGAACACCTTGAAGGGATACTCCTGATAGGAAATATGGGCTTTCTGGTAAAATCCCCTATAGGAGTAATTATCAATGAGAGGATAACCGGTGAAAAACTTCTCTGACTGGTTTAAATTTACAAGATACTTGACTAAATTGCCAGTATTGACGAAGACATCCGTGTCTGTTTTCATGACGTACTTGGCATTGGGGCAAAACTCATTGACCCACCTGAACGCCATAATTGTTTTCAAGGTCAGGTTATTGTAGCTGTCTATGAAATCTTGCCGTATTATGTCCCCGTAGAGAAGGTTCTCGTCCTCTAGGGACAGCGATAACACTTTGTCTTCCCTTTCAGCCTGCTGGCCTAGTAAGAAAAACGTAAGGACCTCATATCCCCACCAAGACTTCTTTTCGCCCCACGTAACTCTAACGGCCTGCCTGGCTTTCACATCGGAGGGGTGTGAGGTCACCAGGATGACGAGAAATGGGTTTTGCTGAGAGCAGTTTGGATGCTCCTGCGTGAAGCGAAAGTTTTGCCTGTAAATGGGCTCATACTCATAGAAGTACATCCAGTTCACGCGCTCGATCACATTGTACTGGGGCAGGCTGAGGTACCACATCACGAGGAAGCTCAGGAGGGACAGCAGCAGGAGGCTCCATTTGAGGGATCTCAGTGACATCCTACTGGGGAGTGTGGTCAAGAGAGCCAGGGACATTCACAGCAGCTCAGAAGCACGTGGCTCAGCTTCTGGAAGATGGACCAGAGACCAGGTTAGTAATCCGCCACCCAAAACAAATTCTCTTTCTTTTCTTTTTCTTTTTTTTTTTTTAATATATTTTATTGATTTCTTACAGAGAGGAAGAGAGAGGGATAGAGAGTCGGAAACATCGATGAGAGAGAATCATCGATCAGCTCCCTCTTGCACACCCCCTACTGGGAATGTGCCTGCAACCAAGGTACATGCCCTTGACCGGAATCGAACCCGGGACCCCTCAGTCCCCAGGCCGATGCTCTATCCACTGAGCCAAACTGATTTCAGCCCAAAACACATTTTCAATCGATATCTGATCATCTACTGAAGGAGGAAGAGCAGGAGAACAAAGCTCCAAGCAAACCCCCAAATTCCAACCCGAATCTTATTAATGTCATTCGACTGTAAATAAGTGGATACCAACAACCAAAAATATAGTCGAGCTTTTTACATCAAGATAAAGGTTAAAAACATTCTCGATTATTTTGGGAAGTTAATAGTTCGTGTTTCACAGAAATAACTGTTGCAATATGTCTCCTTCTAACAGAGCAGCACATGTTAACAAGTCTCGGACAAACGGGAGGAAAGGGTCCGGAGTGAAGGGAGCCATTTATAATGGCATATAGACAGTGGAGGCCCTATTACTCTTCAACAAGGGGGAGAACTCAAAACAGCAAATCTCATCGCAAAAGTTACCTACGGGCGTTTCATAAGCCACGGTGTGCAAATGAGAAAATGTGACTGTGGTTATGATGCCTATGGGACCCCGAAGGGAATAAAGCAGCAGCAAAAAGCAGAGGAACTATTAGTCCAAAAGGCAGAAAGGCCTCTCAAGGACTGGCCGGAACAGAGTTCTGGCTTCCTATTACACAGGGGGCGGGAGACCAGGGCCTACAGCCAGCTCCTCCCTTCACCTATAACGCCAGCGTGTATGTTGTTTACCTCTTGGGGCCTCAGCTCCCTCCTCTTCACATCCCGAAGATGTTAATACGGGGCAAGTTAGTGCGAATGTGTGCAAAGTATGTGGCCAGTGTTAGGTATTCAACAAACAGGGCTGCCATCACCATCTGTGCTCTACCCCTGGCATCTTTTCCATCCTATTTGTGTCCCTAAATTGATTTTTACTGTCAAAGAGATCATTCTAAAAGGCGAAAGATTTGTATGATCTGAAGAGAAACCAGAGTATGAAAGGGATCATTCTAAAGAAATAATCTTGCCGAAACCGACTGAAAGGTCCCAGGTTCGATTCCGGTCAAGGGCACGTACCTTGGTTGCGGGCACATCCTCAGTGGAGGTGTGTTCAAGAGGCAGCTGGTCGATGACTCTCTCTCATTGACATTTCTAACTATCTCTCTTAATTCCTCTCTGTGTAAAATCAATAAAATATATTAAAAAAAAAAAAAAAGAACAACAACAACCGTATTTTTCGGACCATAAGACGCACTTTTTTCCCCCCAGAAGTGGGGGGAAAAAGTCCCTGCGTCTTATGGTCCAAATATAGCCTACACATATACTTTAAAAAAAAAGTTTTTTTACTTGCCCGGCTCTGTGTGGTCTCTGTGTGCTTGCCCGGCTCTAAAATGGTTCTAAATGCTGCTGTTTACTTTACAGGGTTGATTACATGTGTTTATGACTAGGATGTTGGGTTTTAATGCACATAAAATATTTTAGGACACTATTTGTTTCAGAATCTTTTTTTCTTCATTTCCCTTCTCTAAAAACTGGTGCGTCTTATGGTCCGGAGTGTCTTATGGTCCGAAAAATACGGTACTTTGCAAAGTTTAAAAAAAAAAAAAAGAAAGAAAGAAAGAAAGAATCTTGATGAATTCTTACTATCTGAAGAAAAGGGGGATTCAAAGCCATAAATATATTTCTATTATTACCTTCTTCTTCTGGATTTCTTTTTTCTGAGCGAGTGGAAGACCTTCAATTTCACCAATTGAACATTCAGTAGTATGTGGTAGTCAGAATGCTTGAAATTTCTGTAACATACATAAAAAATGTAACAGCATTGACATATGGATCCGGGGACTAGGGAGGTCAAAGAGGGGAAGGGAGACTTATAACTTGAAATAAAAAGTTTAAAAAAAAAATACTGCTGGTCTCCAGAATTCAGAGTTCCTGACTTCATCATGGAAGAGGTGGCTGGCATTCAAGACTTAAAATCTCGAAGTTCTCACGTCAGCTGGTGTCTCCTGTCCCTCTATGACAGTCCTACTTCCCCCTCACAGCCCTCATGAGCCACCACAGGAAGTAAAACAAGGCACTTCTGAGTGACACTGCTGTGCCCTATCTTTAATTCTGTTCCCGTAACTACTCTGTAAAGTGACTGCAGGGGTTCCTCCCACTCTCAGGGGCATGGCTGAAGGTGTGGAAGAATGAAGGAGGCGTGTTGGCGAAAAGGGGAAAGAAGAGACTAACCGCAAATACTATAAAATAGTTGTTCATTCAGGCTGATGGAAGCAGAGGCATTCTCATATGTTTATAGGTTTCTTTGTATTTGAAATTTATCCTCTAAAAGGAAGAAAAAGTGTAATAAAAATGCTTGGATATGAGCTAAATGGTCCACCCTAATCTTGGCTGCAACACTTGACGACTGTGTGCCTCTTGGGGGAAGTGATTTCACTTCATAAGAGTTTTCTTTTTTTCAGTTACAAGCCAAGAATCCCAATACTAATTCAGTCAGTCCCAGGTCTGTGGGGGAGAAGATGGATTGCCAAGGCAGCTCAGGGGCCCTCAGCAATTTCCGAAGTGGAATGGCACGCAGGCACGCGCATGGATGCACGCACTTCGATGTCATGGGAATCACGCTGGCCTGGCCTCAGGTCTGGGATGGACTCATGCCCGGACGCGGGCTCACAGGCAGCTGGTCTCCCAGCACAGGCCTCCTCGGCAGCTGAGCAGCGGGCTCGGTGAACCCTGACTTTGTTCTAAACCCCGAATCCCAGGGGGAGGGACAGGAAGAAAACCCGGAAACACAGAGGAACAAAAAATAGAAAAAGGCCAACAGAGAAATAGACCATGATTGCAATTCTGACATTTTAATAATAATGTCACATATCACTACCAAGAAATAAACTATATATAGATTATAATTTAAAAGCAATTTCCATTTTATTAAAGATAAACTCATGATTATGTAACTACACGTGCATTCCCCAACTGGATTCTACCTCATCTACATTAAGCAAACATCCTCTCCTAGCGCAGTGCTGGCTACACAGCAGCTGCCAGCGATTACTTGTTGATTGGGTGGTTGATCCTCAACAGCTGAAAAAATATCTCAACTAACAGAGAAGCCCAGAAAACTTGCCGAGACAGAGCACGTCAGCTTCCAGGGTATGAAGCGTGCCAAGGCTGCCACCGCCAAAGGAAACCATTCTCCCAGACTAGTCATAGGCACCTCCGTGATTAATGCCAGAATTCATTCCCCAGTCCAATCCCAGGCTGAGTCTAGGTCTTATCAACAGGTGTTTTAGTTTCAAAAGGGCTCTGTGGGCAAAAGAATCCAACTTACACTATTCATTTTGAATGGAGGGCTCCTCAAGAGCTTTCCATGTTAATGTATGTTCTCTCAGAAGAGCATATATTATGCAATGTTTCCCAAATTTGTCTGAACAAAGAACCCACTTTAATTCTCAGAGTCTGTGGCAGGACTAGAAGAATCCCACTTTGGGAAAGCCTGTCCTAGAACATCATGGCAATCACTGAATTAAGAAACTAGTTCCTGTGAATCCTATATAATAAAACCCCAATATGCAAATAGACTTACCGGCTGAACGACCAGCAGAATGACTGGTGGCTATGATGCGCACTGACCACCAGGAGGCAGATGCTTGACACAGGAGCTGCCCCCAGGGTAGTCAGTGTGCTCCCACAGGGGGAATGCCACTCAGCCAGAAGCCAGGCTCATGGCTGGCGAGCGCAGGAGCCTCTCCCGCCTCTGCGGCAGCGCTAAGGAGCGGCGAGCAGCGGGCAGTAAGGAGAAGCCAGCAGGTGAATGGTAAGGAGCGAGGGGTCCTTGCCGTTTTCTTAAGGAACTGTGGGCTTGGGCTTAAGTCTGTATCACTTCTATAGCAATTTACAAAGCACGGTGACTATACTGCGCAATAAGCGGAGCCACCCCATTTTTCAGAGACCTGTGCAGTCCAAGTACAGGCAGACCTGGAGCCCAAACTCAGGCCCACCTCCAAAGGCTGGTCCCCTTCTCCAGAGCACGGGGCCACAGAAGAGCCCCAGCTCCTGAGATTCCTGGGCAGGGAGCAGAGCGTAGAGCAAAAGTGGACTTACCTTTCCACTCAGGAGTGGGTGATCTGAGAGAATGCCATGACAGAGCAGCCTGCAGGAAGAGGCAACAGGAGGGCCGGATCCGGAGAAGCTAGGAAAACTGGAGCAAAGATCACACCCATCAGGCAGAACAGCAGAAGGCTGGGCTTCCGTCTGAGGCATTACAGCTCTACCAATGGGAGGACATTTCATTCCCTCATCTGTACACTGGACAGGTGTGGTTAGAGCAAACACCTCCAGACCTGCATCCTGTTTTATATGCAAATCGACTGAACGGCTGAACGAGGCTGGGGCTGCAACGGGGAAGATGACAGACAAACCCTGCCTCCAGCTGCTGACGCCATGGAGAGCGAGGAGGAAGGCTCTTATCTCCAAGCTGTGCACCAAATGTAATGAGTCAAGCTCCCCTGGAGAAGGTGAAGGGAGACCTCCCTCCTCAAACGTCTCCAAATGAGTGGACAGCCTCCATGGCGGGGAGCTGAGTTTGCAACTCTCAGAATGTGTAGATGCTCAATTTAATGTGCAGATTACAGGACCAGTGTCAGTTTAGAGAACCATTGAATACTAAGAGGTAAGAGTCAATTACCATTTTTTATCTTAGAAAGTGGGTAACTCCATCTTTGAAAACAAAGTCTGTTATATCAAAATAGTAGCCAAATACAATTCCAGAAAAGAGACATGGTTTGAGTCCTCAGTCATAGGGAGGGTAGGTGGCCGCAGACTTGTCTAAGCACAGCTTAGGAGTTTAGCAAAATTCTATGTTCTAGTCCAGAAGTAGGCCATATAAAAAAAATAAATAAAAAGCCAGACAGCAAACATTTTCTGTGTGAGCCACATGGTCTCTACTCAATTCTGCCTTTGTAGTAAAAACAGAGCCACAGACAATATTAATATATAGGTTATATATTATAGGTTAATATATGGCTATGCTCTGATACAATCATCTACAAATTATAAAAGGCCAGTGGCCATAACACCGTAATGACCAAACGACTGGTCACCAGGATGGGTCTCATGGCGAGGTGGGTCTGGGGTCTCACACGATTTCATGCACCACGTCTCTAGCATATAATAAAAACCCAGCAACCATAATGGTGTAATGGCCAGAACGACTGCTCGACGAGTCGCTATGAGGTGCATTGACCACCTCTTGGTCCCTCCCCTCAAACCCTCCCTCCTTTCACCCCACAGGCTCTGATCGCTGGATGGTAAATGGGGAGCTGGGTGGATGGTCCCTGCCCCCGCCTGCAGGCTATAATTGCAGGATGGCGAAAGGGGAACCACACTGAAAGGGGCGGGACTGGGGACTGGCGAGCGGGCAGAAGATGTCCCTGATCGCAGGCTAGGCCTAGGAACCCTACCTGCACACGATTTCGTGTGCTGGGCCTCTAATTTTGTTTATAAAACAGGATGCTGGTTTGGAAGTGTTCTAACCACACGAAATAGCATGCCTTAGGACAGCGGTCAGCAAACTCATTAGTCAAATTGAAATTTCTTTTGAGCGCCAAAATTTTTAAATTTAAACTTCTTCTAACGCCACTTCTTCAAAACAGATTTGCCCAGGCGGTTGTATTTTGTGGAAGAGCCACATTCAAGGAGCCAAAGAGCCACATGTGGCTTGTGAGCCACAGTTTGCCGACCATGGCCTTAGGACATCAATAAAATGTCCTAAGATCTCTCTTCTCTATGTTCCTTCGTGACCTCAAAGGGCCAGGCTACTGAAAAGAGAGTCCTAGTGCTGGTAATATGTTTCCTAAGTGAAATGGTTCCTGGAGGGTAGGCAGAGCTGATAATTATTATCCTGGGCTGTGGTTGTCACATGGGGACAACAAAAGGCTCTCTGGTTGACTAGCTATATTCAGGGTGCATTGACTACCTCTCCGTCCCTCCCCTCAAAACAGGCTCTGATTGCAGGATGATGAACGGGGGTGATGACACATAGAATGGTAAACTCTGATCACCTACTCTCGTTTTTTGCTTTTATTCCTTAATTTATCAGAGCTTTGCGTGGTACAAGCTCATGAAGTCAGATCTTCCATTCTGCAGCCTCTCAGGCTCTACCCTACAGATGATCGCCCCACATTCAGATGTGGCCCCTGCATCTCTCTATGCTTCTAGCCCATACCCTCTTCTGCCCTCTCCTCAGACTCACAATGTGTCCAAAGCTCTGGTGCCAAACACAAATCAGTATTTATAATATGTAACTTCTTATTAAAACCATTGTTCATAGTGCCAAAAGAGACATTTGCCAAAGAGCTTACGGTTAAGTGAGCTGCAACTTCTGTTGTATAAGGTCATTTGAGGACACTCTGTTTGACCCCACACATCTGACCTCAATCATGAGCTGTGAAGTATGGTTACCCTCCAACACCGTGAGCAACAATGAGAAATGATAGCTTTTAGAGCTGCAACAGAATAGTACATTTGTCCTAGATATTATATACTGGTGAAAGGGATAAAGGTATTTCCTAAAATGGGATTTTACCTATATCACTCAATGGTGGACAGAACAGAGCTGGAGACGGGACAGACGGAAAAGGCAAATCACTGGAAGGGGAAAGGGAAGAGAAGAAGTATCCACTGGGTTATATTCTTAGGGATAAAGAGAACTGAGTCAGAACTTGAAGTTGACTATAACCACCAAATTAAGTTTATATAGTTAAATTTTTCCTGAGTTGCCAAAACTGATTTGGCTCAGCGGTAGAGCATCGGTCTGCAGACTGAAAGGTCCCAGGTTCGATTCCGGTCAAGGGCATGTACATTGGTTGCGGGTACATCCCCAGTAGGGGGTGTGCAGGAGGCAGCTGGTCGATGTTTCTCTCTCATTGACATTTCTAGCTCTCTATCTCTCTCCCTTCCTCTCTGTAAAAAATCAATAAAATATATTTTAAAAAATAAAATAAATAAATAAATTTTTCCTGAGGTACTGTACTATATGGTATTTTAATAATAATTCCATTTTTAAAAATATATTTTATTGATTTTTTACAAAGAGGAAGAGAGAGGAATAGAGAGCTAGAAACATCGATGAGAGAGAATCAACCACCAGCTGCCTCTTGCAGCCCCCCCCCCCTACTGGGGATGTGCACGCAACCAAGGTACAAGCCCTTGACCGGAATCAAACCTGGGACCTTTCAGTCTGCAGGCCAACGCTCTATCCACTGAGCCAAACCGGCTTCAACAATAATAATTTCATTTTTGAAGAAAAAATTTCAAAATGATTTAGTAGACCTTAACTAACTCTGTATCTTCTCAAATCCTTTGGGAAAGAAATATACTAGAATATATAACAAAATTTGTAGCTATGTAAATGATCCTTAAAATTTTGTAAAGGAGACTATTAGGTCAATTTTATGCACGCAGGATAATTTCTAAATTAAAATAAGATGAGCTTACCTGTAGAATTTCAGATGAGACCACAGCACTAGTTGAACTTCTTTGTTGTTTTCTGAATTCCATGCTTTAATGAAAACAGATTTGCTGGGGACTATTGAACAGAAGAACAGAAAAATACAGCTGAGTCAAAACAACATTGGGCACTATGACATTTAAAATCAATGTTCTAGCCTGGCTGGTGTGGCCCTGTGGTTGAGCACTGACCTATGAACCAGAAGGTCATGGGTTCAATTCCTGGTCAGGGCACATGCCTCAGTTGCAGGCTTGATCCCTAGTGTAGGTGCTGCAGGAGGCAGCCGATCAATTATTCTCCCTCTCCCCTTCTCTCTCTCTCTCTCTCTCTCTCTCTCTCTCTCTCTCTATATATATATATATATATAAAGCCAATGTTCTATAACTTGCAAGCTGCTATGGGAGCAAATTATTATATATCGACACTTCATTTTGGGGGAAAAAACGATCCTCTCTTCTTCCTTCTTGCTCAGAAATCACTTCATGCCTCTAATCTGGAATTACATTTAGCCACTATATTCACAGACTTTATTTTCAGGGTTGGACTTACCCACTGACCATTCATTTGAATAAGCCTTTCTAGTCTAGCAGGAAAATGTCGTCGACTCTTAACCCCTCAATTTTAAACAGTTCCCTTCTCTAGGCTGATGTAGGTCCAATTAACCCTTCAACCAGGCATCGACACAAAGCCAGATTCTGAGAGCACAAAACCAGCGCCCAACCTCTGTCCTAGACGTCTGAGGCTCTCCTAAGCCACAAAGTTGTTCCCCAGCTGAGGACTGCAAACTCAAACCTTGTGCCTCTGAAAACAAAAACAAAAAAAGGGGGTGGGGGGGGGGGTATGGTTTGATCATTTGTTCCTGGGTCCTAGCTCTTCCTGCCAAAGCAGCCACCTCCTCAACGCTGACACGACGTGCAAAATCCAGAGAGAGGAGAAAGCCGGCTCCGCGGGGCCCAATCCCTTCTGGTCCAGCAGTGAGGAGCGGGGAGAGGGGCTGCGGGCATCCCTCCTGACTGCGTGGGGAAGTGCGACTCCGCTGCCCCTTTAGGATTTCCCTGGAAAGGCCTTACATACCCGTTAGGATCGCCTCTTGCAAATCACGTAACCACCGGGGGTTCGTTCCTCCGCTCTCGGCCCCAATGTGCCCATTCTGCTCCTTAGCTCCACATTCTTCCCAGCCCTCCCCAGGAAGAGCCCTCCCCCAACCCGGCTCCCCGGCCCTCCCTGCGCGTTGGGAATGCAATGCGTTCGCCTTGGGATTGTTGGGGACCCACGGCCACCCCCAAACCCCCTCTCCGTCCGATCCCGCCCCCCCCCCCCCCCCCCCGGTCCCGGCCACAGCCACCCGGATGGACCGGGAACCTGGGGCTGCTCCCCGGAGCCGGGCCGGGCCTACGGCGCGCTCCTCGCACCCGAGGCCTGATCCGCCGACCGCGCGGATCCCCCAAGCCCGCCGCGCACCCCTGCGCTCTCCGCTGGCCCGGGGCGCCGCCGCCGGGGCGCGCCCGCCGGGCTCCAGCCGCTGCGGGTCGCCGAGGCCCCAGCCCGCGGGCCCGGCTGCTCGCCGCGCTCCCGACCGACCGGGCCGGAGTGGGCGGCGCCGCCCAGCCGCCTCCTCCCCGCCTCGCCGCTCGGCCCCGGGCGTCCCCGGGGAGGGCGCGTCCGCCCGAGACGCAGAGGGACCCCCGGACCACGCCCGCCACCTGCCCAGGGGGGTCCTCAAAGCCTCGGGGGGCGCCCCGGCCCCGCCGCGGGCTCACCTTTCCGCCAGGCGCGCTCCCCGCCCGTGCGCAGCGGCGGCGCCTCTCCCGCCCGCGCTCACGCACCTCCCGCCGCCGGGCGCGCTCCCCCCGCGCAGCGCCCGCGCCCCTCGCTCGCCCGCACGCACGCACGCGCGGCCCCACGCGGCCCCCTCCCTCCCAGGCCTGGGCGCGCCCCCCCATCCCCGCCATCCCTCGCCATCCCCAGCACCGGCACCGCGGCGCTAGGTAGGCGTCTCCCACTCAGGATGGCACAGGGCGGGCGGGGCCGTGGCGGACCTCACGCCCAGATTTGGTTCCCACTCGCGCCCCTTTGTCCTCTCCCGGCAAAGTTCCAAAGCTGCGTGAATGCCACGAGCTAGAGGCAGTCCTGGGGGTTAGGGGGTGGGGTGGGTGGGGAGACACGACTTACTTATTTAGAATCCCCGCGGGACTAGTAAGGAAACGAGAAAACAGGAAATTCTTGGCTCGTTCGGAAGAAACGCGCGTGCGCCCCCTAGAACCCATGGAGAATGGAGGGTGGGGATGCGTCGTCGGGGTGGCCAAGGTCTGGTTGTGGAACAGGAGTCCTAGGGAGTCCCGCGCTGTCTCTCTGGGAATGCCTCTCGGGAAAGTCCCCTTTGGCCTGGAGAATGCAAAGGTCAGCCCCTCCCGGAGACGTCACCGTGGACGTGGTGCTCCCCGGGAGGGAGGAGGCGCGAGGCACTCAGGCGTGTGTGGAGGTGGTTGGATTGATCTAGGAATAACACTTCTCCTTTTTCGGATCCCCTGGAGGAGTGCCATCTGGCCACACGGTTCCCCCTCCTGGCCACTTGCTCTGGGTCGGTGATCAGCTTGGCTCCAGCATTCCTGTGTGAAAAGTTGATGGAGCCTTAGCCGGTTTGGCTCAGAGGCTGGAGGGGTCCTCCCGCAGACTGAAGGGTCCCGGGTTCCATTCTGGTCAAGGGCATATCCCCAGCAGGGGGCGTGCAGGGAGCTGCTGATCAATGATTCTCTCTCCTCATTGATGTTTCTCTCCCTCTCCCTTCCTCTCTGAAATCAATTTTTAAAAAATTATTTTTTTTATTGATTTCAGAGAGGAAGAAAGAGGGAAAGAAAGATATTATAGAAACATCCACAATGAGAGAGAATCATGGATTGGCTGCCTCCTGCAAGTCACCCCACTAGGGATGGAGCCCACAACCTGGGCATGTGCCCTTGACCGGAATCGAACCAGTTTGCAGGCCTATGCTCTATCCACTGAGCCAAACCGGCTAGGGCAAAAAAATATATTTTTTTTAAAGTTGAAAGAGTAGGTCAGTGAACACCCGCTTAATAAAGGCCTCCAAGATTGTATGACTTAACATTTTCCCATAAATGCCTTCTTTCTCACTTTCCTAAATACTTCAGCCTGCATTTCCTAAAAATAAAGACAGAGACATTCTTCTATGCAGCTATATAAGAAACTTAATCACATAGAAGAAATTCAATAGTTTGATGGCATCTAATTTCTAGCCTTTATGCAACTTTCTCCATTTGTCAAAACAGTCGCATGTTGTAGAAAGGGAGTCCAAAAAGAGGCATGCATTGCATTTATTGTTATGATTAGAGGCCCGGTGCACAACATTCGTGCATTTGGGGATGGGGAGTGGGGAGGATCCCTCAGACCAGCCTGCATCCTTTGGCAGTCTGGGAGTTCTCAGGGGATGTCCAACTGACTGCTTAGGCCTGCTCCCCTGCTGCAGTTGGACATCCTTAGCACTGCTGCAGAGGTGGGAACCATCACCACTGCGCTGGCCAGCCATCAGCCAGACTGTGGCTGAGAGGGGGAGCACACTGACCACCAGAGGGCAGCTGTAGCATTGAGTGTTTGCCCCCAGATGGTCAGTGCGTGTCATAGCAACCAGTTATAAGGCCTTTTGGTCAATTTGCATATTACCCTTTTATTATATAGGATGCTCTCTTTTGATGCAGAACAATCCTCCACCTTTTTTATTTCATGGCATTGACTTGGTGAAGAGTTTAGGCCAGTTATCTCAGAGGGTTTTTCTTTCTCGATTTGTCTGGCCTTTTTTTCCTCCTGATGTCATTTAACTTTTTCTCTATTGACCTATTTTTCTGTAAGCTAGAAGGAAGGTTGAGATGTTTGATTGGGTGGCAAGAATTCTTCCCTCTTTATGAGGTGCACTTCATATTATTTCCCCACATAATAGTAATTCTTAAATGAATAATATTAGGTTGACCCAGTATCAGGGATCACTGAAATGTCAAGTGTCCTCTAGACTTTTTATTATGAAGTCCATTTTGAGGTTACTAGGCATTATGTGAGGTGGAGACTTTAGAACTTTTTGAGGAAAGCATGTTACAGATCCGTTCACCTACATGGACTGAGTCATTGTCTGGATCATTCTGGTACCTACTTGCTTCAGATGCTTCACTAAATTAAATACTAGCATTATTCAAAGAATAGTACCCTTCTGGTCTCTGTGGAGCTTGGGCCATTTTATAGTTCCGGTGCGTAATTTTGGTAAAAGCAGTGATGCATTCTACAGGTTCTTGTGGTGTATGTTTTTAAAGACTATATTTTTATTGATTTTTATAGGGAGAGGAAAACTATATTTTTATTGATTTATATAGGAAGAGAGAGGCAGAAACATCAATGACGAGAGATAATCATTGATTGCTTGCCTCCTGCATGCCCCCTACTGGGGCTCAAACTTGCAATTTTGGCAAATGCCCTGACTGAGAATCAAACCAGTGGCCTCTTGGTGCATGGGATGTCAGGCAACCAACTGAGCCACACAGGTTGGGCTTGTGATGTGTATATTAAGAACATTTGATACAATCCAGGGGGAGTTTTCTATATTGAGCTGGGCATACTTGATTGCTGGAAACTGATCATTGTCACTAGTAGAGAAATGTGAAAAGGGAATCCAGAAGGCTGGTCAACCTTAATTGCTGTGAATGGTCGGAGCTAATCACTCATTGTTTAGTGGAGACGTTGTTAGTTAAAGCAACCTCCACCTGTTAGTCATATGTAAATTCTTGCTGATTGTCTTTTATTGGAAATTTCCTGCCTAAAGGATATGGGTGTATCTCATAACCTCAATAAAAGGGATAGCAAGGCCAGAGCAGTAGTAGTCCTCCCCCTAGAAATGGGTTCCTGCCTGGACTCCCATTTCCCAAATTAACTCTTTTCTAGTCTCTCTTCATTTTGTGTGCGGCCTTCTCCAGAACCCAAACTTAGAACAGGAGCCCTGAACCACATGGGACGCGGAAGGGCTCCCGCACTTGATCTAAACTACTTCCAGTCTATTAATAGAAACAGCAAGAATATGTAATAGTGTATATCAGTGTTTCCCAACCTTCTCTCATGATGAGAATCACCTGGTGGAGTTGTTAAAACACAGATTCCTGAATCCCAACTAAGAAGTGCTAAACTAGAATTTTTGGGAACATATAGGTAAAATTGTATACTTAACTAGTGCTCTAAGACAGATTTTATATACAGAGCACTAAGTTAGGTATGCAATTTTACCTATATGTTCTCAAAAATTCTAGTTTAGCACTTCTTAGTTGGGATTCAGGAATCTGTGTTTTAACAACTCCAGCAGGTGATTCTCATCATGAGAGAAGGTTGGGAAACACTGGTGTATATGACCTCTGCCTGTGGTAACATTGTCTCTGACTCATAGCAGAGATGCCTACGAGTGTGAGCTCATCCATTTAAGCTCATAAACTCTGCTAGGCAAGAGCTATGTCAAGTTTACTCTCCATAACAATGACCACCTCACCTCCCACAGAGAACTCTCTAATGGTGTCATCTATACCACAGACAAATGTAGTGGTATACATTTGTGGTATACAACAGTCAGCCTGTATCCCCACTTCTCAAAACCCAATTTTCAGTAAGGCAGTCTAAGTCAGTGGGTGGCATCAATGGCTTTGCTATCAGACAAAGTGGGGATGGGCTTTTCCCCACTGTGTTCGAGGGGTGGAGTTCTTTTGATATCGTGTTTTTTTTTTAAATATATTTTATTGATTTTTTACAGAGACGAAGGGAGAGGGATAGAGAGTTAGAAACATCGAGGAGAGAGAAACATTGATCAGCTGCCTCCTGCACACTCCTTACTGGGTATGTGCCCTTAACCGGAATCAAACCTGGACCCTTGAGTCCATAAGCCAACGCTCTATCCACTGAGCCGAACTGGTTAAGGCTCCTTATGATAGCTTAAGAAAAAGAATTTTCTGAGACTTGCATGGCAAAATGAGTGATTTTTATTTGTGTTTCCAAAGTCCCATTTCTCTTAGTCCAGTCATAGAAGAAGTGTAGCTGGGGTTTCAGTAGAGCTGAAGCAAAGCTACTGTCGTAGGGGTGTTGAACTCAATCAGAGAAGGGGCCAAAATCTAAAATCCAGCCTAAATCGCGGGCCGAATGGTTTACTGAACAGTCATAAACTGTCATTGTGATGGAAACGCAGCGGAGTGCAGTGATGACAGCGCGGTTCGGGCCACATTGCAAGGCCTGGCGGGACGGATTTGGCCTGCGGGCCTTGTGTTTGACAC